GGTTTTTCTTTCTTTCTTTCTTCTCACCAGTTGAAAGCCCTGTGCTGGGATGTCCTGTGGATACACTCGGGTGATTGCCAATGGGAGGGAAGCAGGGTCTGGGCAGTGGGGGATGGAAAGGGACCTGCTCCAAGCAAGGTGGTCTGCATGGTCATGAATAGTGTGGGGCATGGGGCTGGGTGATGGAAGCAGGAAGGGGAGGTGTCCACAAGACAGTGTCTCTGTTAGGTTGTGGTCCACGCATTGAGCTAGTTGGAGAACACTTGTTGCAGTGTCTGGGATACAGACACTGCAGAGGGAGGTCTAAATCCAAGGGGAAACACTTTTAATTTGGATTGATAAACAGACCAACCCTGGGAATTAACATTCCCTGGCTTGCCCGCCTGAGAATGACCCCCTTACAATCGCCTCCTGAGCCCTGGCAGCCACCAGCCAGCTGTGAGCTCTCGTGCACCCCCCCACTCTGCCCCACTCCACTTCTCTGAGCAGCAGATCCTGTGTCCCAGGATTGGACGGGGTCTCCCAGGGGTCCTCTTCTGCCAGGCTAAGACACTTGCTGCCCTGGGAACAGGGCACTCTGGTTTTCCCGGGCTCCACTTCCTATTCTAATAGTGTGTCATTCATCTACAGACAAGGAGCCAAACCCTGCACTGGGGTAAATCGGTGCAGCTCCTTTGAGGTCAATGCAGGTATGGTGCTTTGCATCACCCGAGGACCTGGTCTGAGGGACCATGGAACACCCCCAGCTGAGGGAGCGTGGTTTGGGGACACATGAAGGGCTGCTAGCTACAGACAGCGGTGGTGTTTGTTAACATCTGAGCCATATTGATATACAGCTGTGACTATCTGCCAGCTGTGCGCTCTGACAGCAATCACTCCACCTTGGCCCTGCTCTTCATGGGGCCGGCAGCAGCTCAGCCTGGCCTGGGAGCAAAACCCCAGGGCTGGAATTATTAGTGTTTGGTTCAAAGTGAACATCATGCTGGATTGACCACCCAAGGGTCTCTACCCACGGAATAGGGACAGCTTTTCCCCACACTGTCACAGCCCTGGCCCGAGGGCTCCCTCTCCCGGGGGGAGAAGGGACTGCAGGGTCCACGGTGCATTCATCCCCTTGGCTGAGGCTGCTAACGAGGAGCTAGTTAGTGCTGTGAGTGATGGGGATGCCTGTCCTGCAGCAAGGGGCTGGAGACCCACCCACCTCTTTGTTTCAACGAGGCCTCTCAATGGCCAATGCATGAAAACCATTTTGGGTGCCTACCACCCCGTGCTCGCTGTGAAGCTGTAATCTAGAGGGGTGGATTGCCGACACTCCAGTGTGTTGGTGATGTAGCAACGGAAGCCCTTCAATGCGTTGCTCTGAATCCAAACCATATAGCCACATTCCCAGCCTCTGAACAGTCCCCAAATGAGGAGATGCCTTCATAACGCTGGGTAGGTCAGCCCAGTGCTGTTGTTTTGTTGTTCTCTGTGTGTGTGTGACTGCGTATGCGCGTGTGAGTGTGCACTGAACTTCTTACGCTGCACTGTGGGCAACGAATGAGGAGCAGGGCGTTGTCTCTTTCAGACACCCCAGGAAGGAAGCTGCTGAAGCGGGTCCGTTTTATTTTACAGCTGCACTGATTTCGTCTGGGGTGCTAATCTGACACCTGTGGGTGGAGGGCTTCCTTGGGCCTTGATCATCATCTTCATCATCCACATTCCTGCAAGGGGAAGCTTTCCAGCATTGCACTGGCTTTAGCCCAGACTGCCCCTCGTCTCTCTAAGGACAGCTCTGCTAAAGTCCAGGCGAGTGCTATGCTAGGCAAACAGCATCTAGAGCGATAGTGGGTTATCTAGCGCCCACTAGGCATTCCCATTGCCCAACGGCCCCTAGGAAGCTGGGCCTACCTATTAGCATTCCATGAGGAGGGTCAAACTGGGACTAAGGGGATTAACTGGGATTAAGGTGGCAAGGAGAGGGCTTGCATTGGCAGCAGCAAGCTAGCTCAGGCAGTTGTGAAGACGAGTCACTGTAACCCACGTCCCCTCGGAAATAATGGCTGGATTTCTGCTGCGTGCACAACTCACTCCCCAAAGTGACACCGAATCTGCTGTTGTGACCTGCCGCCAGGCTGCTCTCACAAACTAAGCAGTGTTAGGCTGGCTCTGTATTTGCATGGGAGACCCCAAGGGACACCTCGCTGCAGAGGGAAAGAGTGATGCAGGGGCCCCAGCAAGCTCCTGCTCTGTGTTTGTACAGCGCCTGGCAGAATGGGGTCTCGGTCACTACTGTAACACTACAGACCAGTTATGTGGTTTAGATACCTGCTACTTTCCATGTCCTGCTCCTGGCTGGGCTGCCCTGATCATTAGTGCCCACACCAGCCACCTTCACCTGTCAGAAACCCAAGTTAACTCAGCATCAGAATCGATTTCCTGAGGAGCAGGGTGCATGTGGAGCCGTCGGAGAGGGGGTGGAGCAGGGCAGCAGGGCTGGGGAACGAGGGCAGAGAGAGACGAGCCCACTCACATGACTGAAGAAGCTGGGAAAGGCCTGTGGGAATGGCTCATGAGACCTGGGCTGTGAACTCTGTGCAATGCCCAGCACTGTGCGGCCCTGGTCTCAGGTGGGATCTCTGGGTTCTTCAGTCCTGCATCAATACACAATACACATCTTTCCTCTCTCAGCAGCTTTTCGGCTCCGGCAGGGAGAGGCAGAAAGTTGTCCCCAGCTCATGGCTCTTTGGTGGCCTCGTTCCAGTTCCCAGTGGCCGGTTCTGCATGTCCCCCAAAACACCAGCCTCATTCTCGGCACTAATTGGCCCCCTTGTGGGCAGTCTCAGGAGTGAGGCGAGGGGCTGAACGGGTCCTGGAGACTGAACGCCTCTCACAGCCCTAAGGAGGTCAGTGTGAGGCACTCTGTTACCGCTGGGGAGCTTTACCAGGGCTGCTCCTGTCCCGGAGATGCGGAGAGGACCTAGATCCCCAGGCCACCTCGCCCCAGTGCTACATTCACATGAAAAATGTTTTAAATGGAATAATAATAATGGCAGAAATTGATGGACTAGGGCCAAGTTCCTCCAGGGGCTGGAAGGTGCCCAATTAGAGGGAATTATAATAGGCATCACGCAGGAGCAGCCCCCCAGCTACCTGTCCAGGCTGGAGAGTGACTTCGGGATCAGGTGGAGAGGAAAATGGGGGTGCAGCAGAGCCCTGCGCCCTGTGAGCCGCTCCTGTTTGCATGGCTCAGGGGAGAGAGGTGAACTTTGGTGTCAGAGGAGGGTCAGTGACTGCATGGAACTTCACCCTTGCCTCAGGCTGGACTTTGCCAAATACGTGGATTGTCACCTCCTCTAATCTGCATGCAGATAACACATCCTCACTGGGAAAGAGGCTGAAAACATGAAGTACCCTGTCTGCCTGTTTCCCAGAAAGGCCTTAGGTATTAATGTGATACAAAAGCTAAATGAGGTAAAGGTTTGCAGATCAGTTCTCGGAATAAGCAAATCGGAGGTGGAGAGACAGTGTCTGAGGAGTTTACTCCCGTCACTGTTTACAGAGTTTGATTCATTTCCCTCAAAACAAATATTTCCAAGCTTTGTTTTCCTATTTCAAATGCAGTGCCAGCAGCCCAGTGCTTGTGAGCAGCCCTGCACTAACACACCAGTGTGCCCAGACCAGAGTTCACCAGCTGTTCCGTTGCTTTGGTTTGCTGTAGCAACCTGAGCCCAGTGGAAGCGTATAGATAACGTATAGATCTTAGTAGCAGTGCATGGTCTAGAAGTCAGCTTGGAGATCGAAGCACCTGCACAGTCTATGCTGCACAGAGCCCCAGGGCTCTGCATCTGGTTGTATGAGCGAAGCTCAGGTAGGATCCTCGTACACCTCCATGGATCACCTGTGTGCTGGAGATGTCTTGGAGATGTCTCGTGTTGTCTCCTACCTGCCTCGCCTGCTGTGTTCAGTGTGCTGCTGGTCACTGCTTCTGCATCAGCACAGACACAGGGGGCTGTCAAACAGTGTGACGGGTATGAACTGACCCTTCCGGGTGCTGGCCATTTCCTCGCCTGCTGTCCTCAGGAGAAGCTCTGGGTGGAGAATCTGAAATGCCAGTCAAAGGCGCCTGGAGCCCACAATTTGTTCCGAATGTTTGAAAATGGCTCGGTTTTGGAAAACGCTCTCAAACGCGGCTTTTCACTTTAAACTGGCCCCACTTTCACTCAGCATGGCTGGTTTTTCAGTGACAAATATGCTTTTTAAAATGTTGTTTACAAAATTTGAAATTGTTTCACCGGTTAAAATACATGAATAAAACATGCCAAAAAGTTACATGTTGGGTGTTCTGGATGGACAAATAGCCATTTTGCTGAAACTGGGCAAAAGATGAGCTGTCTGGGTTATGAAATGGCTCAGGACAAAAAGGCACCATTTTCCCAAATCTTTTCCCCCTTTTGCTATTAATTATTATATTTCATAGTTCTATTCACCAGGCTCCAGCTGGGATCAGGGTCCCTTGTGCTGGTCAGTGTGCAGACAGATACAGAGAGATGGTTCCTGCAAAGAAAAGCTTCCGGTGGAAAGATGGGTACTGTGGCTACAGCCCTGGACTGGGACTCAGGAGATCTAGGTTCAGTTCCTTTCTGTCAGAGACTCCCCAGCTGTAAAGTAGGGACAATAGCCCTTCCTTTCCCCCACCCTTTGTCCGTCTGTCTTCAGGGCAGTGACAGACTCTCACTATGTGTTTGTACAGCACCCGGCACAATAGGGACTGATTTAATTGGGGCCTCCAGACGCTACCATGATAATAAAACACTAGTAATCCAAACTCCCTTAAGAGGATGTGCAGCTGTAGGTTGCCAGTTTCCAAAGGGTTAACAGCCCCTGCTTTTCCCTCTTGGATTCTACCCCCTTCAGGGCAAATAACCTCTTGCCTTTTCCACAGGATTGGCAGCTCACACTTGGTTGCGCAGCTGTGGAACCCAGTGGCAGAACTATCAAGCCAGGCAAACAGATAGTGCTGTTTGTCTTGGTGTATGAGACTGGGATACAAAGGTCAGCTCCGAATCCAGCTTCACCCGAATCCAGAGACCTGGGCAGCGCGACCAGCAAGGCCTCTCTTATCACTGGTAATATACCATCTTATCCATCAAGAAGAGAAAGGTGAGGACCTGTGATTGGCTATTGTTCCTGGATACCCTGGAGCTCTGGTATTTTCTAACTTGCTAGCCCAGTGGATGCTTAGGAGGATGTCTGGCACATACATTTCTGCAGCATGCAAAGGGTTAACTTTGTTTGTAAGCCACTGGGGAGAGAGGTGGTTGGCTGGGGTAGCTGGAACTGAACTGGTCTGGTAGATGGGTGGGGCGAGGGTGGTGAGTGATCTGTGAGAGCCAGTCAGATGACTGGTACTCACGTCATGCTCTGAGAATGTCTTTGAACCTCCACGTTGTATTTACATGCAGATGCGTATGGGACCTCTTGTCACCTGAGCACTTCTGCCTAATACTGCTCCATATATAAAGTGAGCAGCGTGATCCAGGGTCCAACTCACAGAGGACAGCAGGTGAACAGCAGCTAGGTAAGGTGCAGGTGATACAATTCGTTACTTCTGCAGCAGCTCAAGGCATTTTCCGGGGAATGTTGTGTAGAAGTTAGAGCAGAAAGCTGTGAGTCAGGACTCCTGGGTTCTATTCTCACCTCTTGAAATGTTACCTAGTGCATAGGGACACTGGGAGTCATGTTTCCTGGGTTCCATTTCTGCATCGGGGGGAATATGGTTTAGTGGTTAGAGCAGGGAACTGGAAGGACTCCTGAATTCTAGACCCAACTCTTTCACTGACACACTCTAGGTCACATCTCTATCAGCCCTAGTTTCACCAGCTATAAAATGGGATAACAATGCTGATCTATTGTGCGCTGCAGTGGCCTGTGATGCTGGATTACTTAGACTGCAAAGCTCTTTGAAAGCCTTGGATGAAAGATGCTTTAGTAGGGTATAGTGCTCTTGTATGGATTTCCACAAGGGCATAAAGCTGTGAGGTGTGGGGGCGGTCTCACCTTAGAGCACCGTGAGAAGTTTGGAAATGAACCTGTATCAGGGCTATAGAGTTTTCCTTGACGTCAGTGGATGGATCTGTTAAAATGGTATCCCCTGAGGTTGTTCTGAGTTATCTTCTTGAAAACAGTGCCCAGTGCAGAGCTGAGCTCTCTGATCATTTGGAATAACTAATTTCAAACCAACGGTGATATTGACACAAAGGGGTGATTACCATGCATGTGTGCAAATTGAGGTCACCTCTGCTCTCCTCACAAGGACCACTGAACTTGTATTATGATTTATTTATTTGTATTATGATAGTGCCTAGGAAGCCCTAGTCATGGACCAGGAACCATAGGTTGTGTCCATGGTTTGCTCCCACTCAGAGGCAGTTTATCTTGCTGACCAAGGGGGCCAGTTCTTGATACCCTTACTCACATTGAGAATACCTTACACCTTGAGCGGCCCCACTGAAATGAAATCAATGAAGCGGTAAGGTGCTACTCAATGGGAGGCTATCAGAATCTGGCCTCTGGCTGTATTTTACATTCACCATCTGGACTTTGTGCCATCCAGCTGCAATTTAAATCCCCACCTGAAATGTGTTTGAATCGAAAGAGAGTCATTGCAAAAAGCAACAACCCAGAAAGAAGACCCAGTCATTGGAAAATGAACCTGGCCCCCACCCCATGAGCCGATAAAGTGAAGGCAAAGCCTGGGTCATGGCAGGAACTCCACGAACTGCTTTCTGGTTGGTTTCTCTCCGCAGAGTCCCAGCCCAGTGACCAGACTGACCATGTCTCACAAAGCTGCACTTCTGGCTTTGCTCCTGGCCACCGTCTCAGGTTGGTGATCTTCTCTATAACAACGTGCAGGGACTCATTTCCCGGCTCTAGACACGACAGTTGAAAGTCCTTGGTCGGGGCAGTGTTGGGGATTCAGCTGCGTGGCAGGGGGCACTGGCTGCTTACAAGAGGATGCAGCTTAGTGAGATAGTATTTTGGAACAGGAGATGACAAGTCCGTTGACCCATCTCGCCCCAGACAAGAAAGGTGTCACAGTAAGGTGACCCAGTGACAGGTCCCCCATGTATTGCTCCTTTGATGCTATCGCTGTACCCCAAGGCCGGGTAGCTCTGACCCTGTCACGGGAGTCTCAGGCATCTGGACCCAACATGTGCCACTGGCCTCCACTTCCGTTGTGTCATGTGAGGCAGCCCCCCTGACGAATCCTTCGGGTTATGCTGGGCCTGGCACCCAGAACGCCCACTGAAGTTAATGGGGGCTGCAGCTCTGGAAATCAGGGCCTTTATTACTTTGGGGAGGGGGCGCCCCTGGGACTTGTCAGTGTAGAGAAGCCTCCTGAGCATCCCAGGGATAAAATGCTGTCTCAAGGATTTACAGACTGTGAACTCCATCAGTTTAAGAGCAGCTCCCAACACCAGGTCTTCCCTTCACAGAGCTCCCCCATGCCACCTCCCTGCTACCAACCTCATGCTTTGCCACCAAGGCTCTCCCAGGGTCACTCTGTTAAATGCTCTTGTTCCACCCATGCAGCTGCTCAGGCTGAACGGGCGAGGAATGGGTTCTGGGATTACCTCAGCCAGCTCACTCATGACAAGGACAGTATGGCACATACCCAAAGCATGAAGCTGGACCAAGAGATCAAGTGAGTACCTCGTTCTCTGGGGTTAAAGAATTTGTAGGCAGTACCCTGAAGCCCATTGCCCTGTCAGAGGCCAAAGAACATCTGGTTCTTGCACTTTGCCTTCCAACTGCTTCCAGGCTGATTGGTTTATTGATGGATTTTTAGAGAGGCATAGTGCCCCTAAAACCTTCATATATATATATAGGCATCTTGGCATTTCCAAAATCTGTTGAGTCAATACTATCCATCCCCTATGTGGCTGGAGATCCCCCAGCTGGCCCTACCCAATAATAACTGAAATACAACAAAGAAAAGCCCAGTGGAAACCCAAAAATGATTCCTGCAGCTTGGCGAACATGAGCTCTGGCCCAGCAGCCAAGACTGGGAGCAAGGACCACAGGCAAGGGCTCTCTGCTGAGACAGGACAGTGAGACTGGCGTGACTGGTAATATTGGTTAGACCAGCAACAACATAGGCAAGTGCTATGCAACCAGCTCTCTGAGGGCTCTATTGCAGTGGTGATACCCCAACTCAGCTCTGCCAATGCCCCTCATTCCTGACCTGCATCCCCTCCCTGCTATTCCATTCATGACCCTTATTCCAGCTCTGCCAATGCACCTCTTTCCTAATCTATCCCACTACCTGCTTGCCTCTCCTGAGCTTAGACTCATGACGAATTCTGCCATGTAGTTTTTGTTCTATGGGCAAAGTCCACAAGGGACTACACTAAGATGAGACCCAAGGCCCAGGTGTCAAGGGGTGAAAAGTTAGTACTTTATACATCTTTGAGAGCCCCCTTTCTTAATGCAGCGCCCAACTGTACAGTCACTATTGCTAGTAAAGTAACAAAAGGGCTAGGACGAGGAATCAGAGCTCAGGCAGTTAGAAGTATGTGTCTGTTGTTTCTTACAGAAAAGTGAAAGAAAGTATCCAAGAAGGAGTTAACTACATGGGAAATCTCCTTGAGAAACTGGCCCCACTCAACAGAGGACTTCAGCCCCGGTTCTACCAAGACTCCGACAGCCTGCGAAGGCTCATCAGGAAGGAGCTGGAAGGCCTGAGGGTGAAACTGTCTCCTTATGTGGATGAGGTGCACCAAAAAATCAGCAAGAACCTGGAAGTGCTTCGCTTCCAGCTGACCCCATTCACCCAAGAGCTCCTGGACCAGGTCATGCTGAAAGCTAGGGAGCTCCAGCAGCACCTCACCCCCACTCGAGACGTGAAGGCCCAGTTTCTGGAAGGCGTAGATGAGGTTCAGAGGTTTGTGTCTCAGTATGCCAATAAAATAGCCTTTCATACTGACCAAGTGAAGGAGGTCTTCCATCCGTACGCTGCCAGACTGGTGACGGAGATCCACCGCAACGTGGAAGAGCTCCATAGAAACGTCATCCCACACACCAAAGTCAGCCCGGAAAAACTCAATCAGTACATCCAGGAGCTCTCTGAGAAGCTGACCCAGAATGCCAGGGATCTCCACCAGAAGATCCAGAGGAATCTGAACCACCTCAAGGAGCAGCTGCGCCTTTACCCCAGTGGCCTCCGGGAGCCCATTGCTGGCACTACTGTAGACCCTCCCTGGGCTGTGGACCCCTACATGGAGGGTCTGGCTCAGGAAGTGCAGCAGAGAATTGAGGAGTTCAGAAGGGACACGTTCCTCCAGATAGACGACTTCACCAGAACCATTGACCGGGAGACAGAAGAAATGAAGTTCAAACTGTCTCCACTGTCCTCATACTCAGAGGAGTTTCAGGACAGCTCAGCACCTCTGGAGGATTTGCATGTCCGGCTTGACTCTCTGTGGAAGGATATTTCCCAGAGTTTAAATGAGAAAAGCAGCGATTTACAATGAAATCCTGTACCTGTGTACAGAGAGGGGTGTGCGTGAGCGTGTGTGTGTGCTCGTGCGCATGCTTAAACCATGCTAGTGGAAAAGAAAAACTGTCAAGAGGTCATGTCCTACTCTACTGCACTGTTGGCTAAGGACACTTGTGGCCATGACTTGGACAACTATAACATGCCATCAACATGGCTTCTCGTGCCACATAAGTACAGCTCTTTTGTCTAGCTGCAGTGCTAGTCCAGAGTTCTCAAATCTGACGGGCGTTCAGCCAGCCCCTCCCTCACTGCCCGGCAGGCCCCTGCGGCTGAAAAAACACAGCAACCTGCTCTCTCTTAGAAAGATAAAGCCACAAAGTCACCTTCTGTCAGAAGGATACAATTTTGTGACTCCGTATTGAATCATGTCATTTTACTAAAATAATTCCACAAACTAGCATTGCTGTGGTCTTTTGAAAGCCAAATGGGCAGAGTGCTTATCTCAGCAGCAGGAAAGAGGGAATAAGTACCATACCTGTAATTACCTATAGCAGTGATTCTCAAACTTCAGTGCACCATGACTCCCCCGCCTTCTGACAACAAAAATTACTACACAACCCCAGGAGGGGGGGACGGAAGCCTGAGCACACCATCCCGGGCTGGGGGTGTGGGGAGCAAAGCTGAAGCCCAAGGACTTCTGCCCTGGGCAGGAGGCATGTAACCTTAGTCCCCCTTCCCCTTGGGGCTTGGGTTTGGGCTTCAGCCCTGGGTGGTGGGGCTTGGGCTTTGGCTTTGGCTTGGCCCTAGTCCCCAGCAAATCTAACACCAGCTTTGGCCCCGACCCACAGTTTGAGAACCTCTGACCTATAGCATACACTATATATATATGGCCCAGTTTTATAAACCTTACTCACATTGACTTCAGTGAGACTACTCAGGTGAGTAAGTACTAGTCAATGGGAGTAAAAGGTCCAGCATCTGGTCCATACTGTATGTCTTTGGATTAATACAGAGTTGAAATGTTGAATTATTTTTAAACTCTTGAAGCTGGACTTCTGGACTTTAACAATCTTCTCTGTGTTACTAGAGTGAATAGTACATGCTGCTAGTGTATTGCACCCTACTTAGGTTACTCTGCAGGGTTAACACTTTCCTTGCACATTCTGTGTATATATAAAATATCCCTCTCTATAATCACAGCATTTTTTATGGAACAGTCGATGGGAATTCAGGTGTTTGGATGTTGTAAGCCACAGCCACAACGGTATTGATATGCCATTTGCTATACCAGTTTTATGGTTTCTTCCCCTGCAATTTAACTGTCAAATCTGCTTCAATAAAGTTACATGTTGTTAGATTTCTTTGGAGTTGGTTTTTCCTTTTTTTTTCTGTTGAAATTGCACAATAAATACATTATCACAATGTGTCAACTTTTAAAGTCTATGTAGGAGCCACATTGCTTTGTCTCGCTCCACAACTTTGTGCTCATATAGCTGGGTTTCAAAACCCAGCTCAGCATCTGGGCGTTCAGTATAACACAAGAACATAAGAATGGCCATATTGGTCCATCTAGCCCAGTCTCCTGTATTCTGACAGTAGCCAGTACCAGATGGTTCAGATGGAATGAACAGAACAGGGCAATTTACTGATGAGCCATCTCCAGGTGTCCAGTCCCGGCTTCTGGCAGTCAAAGATTTACGGACACCTGGAGCATGGGGTTGTGTCCCTGATGGGCCATTGATGGACCTATTCTCCATGAATTTATCTCATTCTTTTTTTAATCCAGTTACACATTTGGTCTTTACAATGTCTCCCGGCAATGAGTTCTGTAGGTTTACTGTGAGTTGTGTGAAGCAATTCCCCATCTTTGTTTTAAACCTGCTGCCTATTAATTTCATTGGGTGATTCCTGGTTCCAGTGTTATGAGAAAATAACACTTCCTTATTCACTTTCTCCACACCATTCATGATTTTATAGACCTCTATCATATCCTCCCTTAGTTGTCTCATCTGTAAAATGAACAGACCTAGTCTTTTTAATCTCTCCTTATAGGGAAGCTATTCCATACGCCTAAACATTTTTGTTGGCTATTGCTGTACTTTTTCTGATTCAAATATAACTTTTTTGAGATGGGGGCTGCGTGCGGTATTCAAAAATGTGGATATTCTGGGGATTTATATAGTTATATATATAGTTATTTATATAGTTCTATTGTGATATTTTCCGTCTTACTAGCTATCCCTTTCCTAATGGTTGCTAGTATTCTGTTAGCTTTTTTGACCGCTGGTCCACACTGAACTGATGTTGTCCTAATTTAGACCCCCATCAATTTTCTATGTATGGTTGGGATTATGTTTTCCAAGGTGCATTGCTTTGCATTTAGCAACATTGATTTTCAGCTGCCATCTTGTTGCCCTGTCATCCAGTTTTGTGAGATCCCTTGGTAACTCTCTGCAGTCAGCTTTGGGCTTAACGATCTTGAATAATTTTGTAGCATCTGCAAACTTTGCCCCCTCACTGTTCACCCCTCTTCCCAAATCATTGCTAGGAATAGGTTGGTGAGGTGTGTGCGCTCCCTCAGCCTCCTGCCATCCCCTGTGCCAGGCTGAGGCCTACGCCCAACCCTGAAGCCTGTGTGGGAGTAGCCCTGCGTCACGTGACGTAGCGGAGGCGTTCCTCCCGCCCCACGAGGCCCGCGGAGCGCTCCGGCTCCCCCTCCGCCCCGCCCAATCGCTTTACACAGGGGGCGTGGCCCGCTCAGGAAGTTCCGGGTCAGAGGGTGGCCGGGAGGCGGAAGCGGAAGC